CTAGCTTGTGCTCACTGTTGTACACGGAAGCAGCTCTGGGCGGATGATGTAGGACGTCGGCGTTGCGCATGCGCCGCTCAGAAGTGACGAACGCGGAAGCGCAGAGGAGAGATCAAAACAAAACAACGGTCACTAATTAGAAGTACAAAATGAGGATTTGTAAAGAAGAATGTCAGAGGATTTCGATATAAGTCAACAGGAGACTGGTTTTCCTTTGCTAAAGTAAGGAAACTTTGCTTCCTTTGATCCTGTAAACAAACATTGGTTTTCACGAGACTCACCGGCGCAACGCCGACATCTTACGTCATCCTCCCGGAGCTGCTTTCGTGTATAACTGTTGGCACAAGCTAGATTAAAGTGATTATTACGTTTTAAATATGGATATTTTTCTTACAAAAACGCATCAGTTCGCTACAGGAGGCCTTTGTTCACTCCCCGCAGCCAGGTGCGGCACTTTTTATTATGGATGGATGTGCTTTATTTCACTTCTTTCGGACTGATGAACTGCAACACCCGCTGACTGCCATTAAACAGCTTGGAAGATCAAAGACAATTTTTAATATAACTCCCGATTGGATTCATCTGAAAGAAGGTAGTCATATACGCCTAGGATGACTTGAGGGTGAGTAAATAATGGGCTAATTTTCATTTTTGGGGCAACTATCCCTTTAAATGTGCATGGGACTAAACCAGAGGTGTCCAAACTCAGTCCTGGAGGGCCGATGTCCTGTAGAGTTTTGCTCCAACTTGCCTCAACACACCTGCCTGGAAGACCTTGATTATCTGGTTCAGGTGTGTTTGATTAGGGTTGGAGCTAAACTCTGCAGGACACCGGCCGTCCAGGACCGAGTTTGGGCACCCCTGGACTCAACTCTGTATCACTGAACTCATGCAGAAGGACTTTATTTTAAGCTTTATTTTATAAGGTCAGTGATTTATATGAACTCTGTTGTCCGGCACAGAGGCTTAAACACACTAACATGATTTACAGTCATTTATTTCCCATGTGGCTCTTTGTCATTTCTGCTGTGGGCGGCTCAGATGTTCAGATATAAAGCAGATTGGACGTTTCTAATGAAACTTTATCTCCATGTGTTCTTAAATGACTGCCTGTTGGTCAATTCTGTTCTGCAGTACCTTTTAAACTCTCTTCAGCTCCGAGGTAAATGTCTTGCTTTGTTAAAAATCTTTAGAAATATTGATATTATGAGACTGATTTGTTTAATTTAATCAAACAGGTTTGAATGGTCCATTTTATACAATGCAGATTATTCAAAGCAGCTTCACAGTAATAAACAGGAAACTAGCAGTGTTAATGTTGCAAATTTCTTT